CACTAAACAAAGTTAAAAATCGATAATCTATAACCTAAGATGCCATTAAAAATTCAGACATGGAAAGGAAAATTAAATCTCAAGTAAGATGTAGATGGAAATAATAGCAAGAGAACAAGCAACTAGAAAACAGACCCATTATTTCAAGAATGTCATTGAAGTGAAAAGATGACTTTCTGCAGTGGACTTCTGATCTGGTGGTTAAGGTGTTGGTTGGGATATCCACAACCCACATCACAGTGGCTGGTTGGATTCCCAGTTCCATTCCTAGTTCCAGCTTCCTGTTAATGGGTACCCCAGGGGTGGAGCTGCACGTGGATGGGGGCAACAAATCATGGCTCAAGTGGTTGGGGCACTAAGACTCTAGTGGAAGAACTGGATTATATTCCCAGCCCCACTGAGACCACCGCAGACTTGGGCAGTGAACCTTTCTCTCTTCAAGCAAGTAACAACACTTCAAGTTAGAAAATTTTAAAAGATCATCCTTTGACAAGTTTAATAAAATAAATAAAATCCCAAAATACTGACAGTGAGGTGAAGTAGAAAAACACAAATTATTTGTATCGGGAATAAGAGAAGATAACACTGAAGACTCTAAATATATTAAGAAGACAATAAGGAAATTTTATGAGCAATTTTAAGTCATTAAATTTGACAGCTTAAATGGAAAATTTCTTTACATAAGATAATTTTTCCAAAATGAAAAAAGAACAAATAGAAAACTCCTACATTAAAGAAATTGATTCACAATGAGAACCATTTCCAAGAAAAAAAAAATTCAGGACCAGTTGATCTCTTTGGCAAGTTCTATAAATATCATGAATATAACACAAAATCCAGCAGAAATGGAAGGAAGCACCTCCCAAATCTGAGACCTCTATAATCCTAATAAACAAAATAAAAATTTTTATGGCTGGCATGGGCGGGCTTGAGGGTATCTGGGGGTGCGGGCTTGCAGGGGAATGTCACCAGTGGGAAGGGGCTTGCACTTAGGTAAAGTGGAATGAGCCAGGGGATTTCCACACATGCTTGATCCTGAGCAGGGTGGCAGGGGAGGGAGGGCAGGGAGACGAGAACCCTAGGTTAGCATGCTGGTGTGGTGTGCTGTGGCTGGGCTGGGGCTTGGGGAACTGTGAATGTACTTGGATTTCAAGTGGAAGGGTAGGGTCCCAGGCTAGCATACATACCAGGAGCTTGGGACCATAGTAGGCAGCCCTAATTCCAGGCTAGCATGCCATCCCACCGGAAGGCTAGGCTTGAGAAGACCAGGCTGGGGACACATGTGCTCCCAGGCATAGGGACTGTGGTTTGCTCAGGGAAGGGGGCATGGGAATGTGTGGAAGGGAGGAGAGCTGAGGGAATAGGTTGCAGTTAAGGAATAACTTCCACCAACAGGGCCACTGTACTTGGCAAGTAAGTGAGAAACTGTAATATTTGCTGGTTCATACAAGAGCAGGGGGTAATGATGGGCTGAGGTAGCCATGACCACGGAAATCCCCAACACTCTTAAGTCCTGGGGTTGGGATCAGGCTGGACTAGTTCAGGCTGCAGCACCTCAAGGTCACCCAAGAATAAGGGCAGGCTGGGCCACAACATCCACCAGTTTATACAAAGGCCAGGAAGGAGGGAGCAGACTATATTGGCTAAGAGCCTAGTACCTGCTGGCACAGGTGACATATGGGTCTGGGAGTGGCCTGGTGGGGGAACTTGGGGAATTCTCCTGGTGGGTCATAGCTCCTGCTGGTAAGCAACAGTGTCTCAGAACTATCAAAACCACTTGAGCAGAACCCTCAGAGATTGCTCCACATCTGGGACCCTGGGATGATATTAGGTGGCCATTCCCCATCCCCGGGTACTGATGCAGTTAGGATGCTGGGTGGAACTTTCCCCCTTCTTTCCCTCTTCCCTCAGTTACAGGAAGAAAAAAAAATTTGGAGCAACGGTCTCATCCACTTCCCCCTAAAAAGTTTCAACCCCCCCCAAATTCTTGTAAGGACATAAGAAAATAAGAAAATTACAGATCAGTATTTCTCATGAACAAACTCAAAAATTCATAGGACAAACTATTTAAAATAAATGTACAAACATACAAAAATATTCATTATAACCAAGTGAGGCTTATTAAAATCAAAGTAATCCATCACATTCACAAAATAAAGGAGAAAATTATGACATTGTAATAGATGTGGTAGAATCTCTTGCAAAACAGGACATCCATTCAATGATCAAAAATTTACTGAAATCTGGGGAAATAATGAAACTTCTTTAATTTGGTAAATATGAAAAGATAATAACATGCTGAAATGAAGATGGAGAAATATTGGATATATTCCCATAATCTTGAAGCAAACATAATGGGCACTTTTATTGCAGCAATTCAACATTTCTGCATAGGTCTAATCCAAAATAATAAGAAAAATTGGTTAATTTAGTAGAAATTAAAAAGAAAGAAATAAAATGTCATTCAAAGGCAACACAATTGTGTTTAAAATAATCCTCTAAAAACCTAGGGAAAAAAAACATTAGCACTAATAAAAAGAATGTAGCAAAGCAGCAAAAGGCAAGATCAACAATTCAAAATCCAGTATTCTCTTATATCCCATGCAAAACACGGCAAATTAAAAGTTCGAGCACAATTTAAAATAAAATCAAAAGCCTTAAGATCTTTAGGACTAATTGGAGCAAAAAGTCTGCTATTTGAAAACTTTCAAATTTGTAGAAATAATTTAAAGAAGATCTAAATAGAGAAATAGCTAGTTGTGTTTTTATACAGAAAAAATAAATATACATGCCATTTACTAGAATATATACATGTATTTTATATGTAAATTTAGAAGATTTAATATCATGAAAATGTCAGTTCTCTGCAATGGATCAACAGAGTCAGCACAATCTCAGTTTAATTCCCACCAGCTTTTATTGTAAAAAATGGACAGGTTTACTTTAAAAATCTTTGCAGAAAGATAAGAAACTTAAAATAGAATGAGTTGAGAAAAAGAACAAAGTTAAAGTACTTAACAGGCTGCTAACAAGACTTTATGTTAAGACAACAGTAACCAAGACAATGTGGTATTGGCATCAAGACAGGCATATTGATAAATGGAAATGAACAGAGAGTCCAGAAAAAAATACCCACACATTTATATCATATTTAACAAAGACACCGATGTAATCCGCTGGGGGAAGGGAGGACTAGCCCTTGCAATAAATGGAGCTGGAAGAACTCAATATCTATTGGAAGCATAAAAAAAGCTGTAAAACCAAACCTCGATTCCAAATCATATCATCACAAATATTAATTCAAAATAATTTAAGATCTTAAATGTAAAACATATTAAACATTGAGAAAAAAAAACTGTAAGAGGTAAAAGTCTCTAAAAATTTGGGATAGGCTAAAATTTCTTAGGACTCAAAAGGCACTAACCATAAATGATAAAGGGGATAAAATGAACTTCATTAGAATTAATTTCTTTCCTTTAAAAAACAGTTATAGAAAATAAATCACATCACAGATGGGGACAAAAATATTTGTGAAAAAATATGTCTGACAGATCACTTCACTTAGAAAATGCCAAAAAAATTACCACACAATATTAAGAAGACAAATGATTCAGTTTAAGAATAAACAAAATATCTGAACTAGCATTGTGGCAAAGCTGCTTAAGCTGCCACTTGCAGTGCTGGTATCCCACTCTGGAGAACTGGTTCCTGACCCAGATGTCCCACCTTTGAATCAACTCCCTGCTGCCTATGCACCTGGCAAGTAATGAAACCTGGGTACGGTACTTGGGTCCCTGCCACCCATGCAGGACACCAGAATGCAGGCACAAGCTCCTGGCTTCAGCTTGTTCCAGCTCCAACTATTGTGGTTATTTAGGGAGTAAAACAGTGGATGAAAGGTCTCTATCTCTCACCAAAAAAAAAAAAAAAAGGCCAGTGAGTGAGAGAATGACTAGATACATTTGAAAAGACATTTCACAAAGGCAAATTCACAAATGGCAAGATAAGAATATTAATAAGATGCTCCACATTACTGACCACATAGAGATTTCACTTTATGCTCATCAGGATGACTGAAATCAGCTAAATGTTAGTGAAGGTGAGGACAAATTGAAGCTCTCATATATTTCTTGTAAAGTTAGACATACATTTATTTACCCCATGATCTGGTCATCCACTCCTAAGAAAAATTAGAAGCATCCAGAAGACCTATACACAATTATTTCCAATAGCTTTATGTATAAATGCCCCCAGACTCTTAATAAACCAAATGTCTATCAACAGATGAATATATAAATGACAATGCAGCCATTTGATTATTCAGCAATAAAAAAGGACTAGATGACTAACTCAAGAGAGAACATGGATAAATCTCAATACCAAGATGGTGAGTGCAAGAAGCCAGACATGTGGGCCCAGCACAATGGTTTAGTTGACTAATCCTTCACTTCCAAGCACCAGGATCCCATATGGGTACCAGTTCATGTACTGCTACTCCAGTTCCAATCCAGCTTTTTGCTTATGGCCTGGAAAGAACAAAGTTTGGCTCAAGTCCTTGGACCCTACACTCACGTGGGAGACCCAGAAGAAGCTCCTGGCTCTGGGATTCAGATTGGCTCAGCTCTGGCCTTTTGAGGGAGGAATGAACCAGTGATTGAAAGATCCTCTCTTTCTCTGTCTCTCCTTCTTCTCTATAAATCTTTCACATAAAATCAATCAATCAAAAATAACTGTAAAGGAAACCTGAAACCAAAGGAAAACAACAAGCAATTCTCTCTAGTTAAAAATAGGAGTGCTTCCTGCAATGTATCAGAAAGCCTGCTGTAGCAGCTTAAAGACAAAGTGGGGGTAATACTAAGATGGAAGGGTGTGCCTTTCCTGTGGTGATGACCTCCCCATGTGAACACGCCTCTCACCAAGGATTTCCTCCACCCCTCTCCAAGGAGTAGAAGAGGCAACACAAGCAGATGCATCTGGCACAGAGCCCCAGTACCTGCTTCATGGCTGTGAAAGGCCCAGGCTGCTACAAAATCACCACGGTTTTTAGCCACGCACAGACGGTCGTTTTGTGTGTCGGCTGCTCCACTGTCCTCTGCCAGCCCACGGGAGGCAAAGCGAGGCTTACAGAAGGATGCTCCTCCTGAAGGAAGCAGCATTAACAGCACCCTGAATCAAGATAAGTGGGAGACCTTCCCAAGAAACACATTTTGGGTACAAAAAAAAAAAAGAGAGAGAGAGAGACTCAGTCTCTGTCAGTGTCAGGTGCAGAAACACCCCAGTGAACAATGCAGCACTCTGTCTTCAGGGAGAAAACAATTTGCAGAGAAAGGACAGATTTAGTTACACAAAAAATGATGAGCAAGTAGGAAAAATGTAATGAGAGGAGAAGCTCAGGATGCCTGGAGATTAAAAGTGGGGGGTTCATCTATTGAGGACCAAGGAAGGAGGCCCAAAGGTCCAGCACTTGATCTGAGACCCCAGTGGGTGGACACACTAGGGAGGTGGGAAGTTGGAGGAGAGGCTCCAGCTGAGCAGACTCTGGGGAGTGAGGGGCGTGGCCCAGGAGCCCTGAGTGCTGATGGCAGAGCAAAGCTCAAAGCTGTAGCAGCAGATCCCAGTCCTCACAGAGCCTGAAGTTCAACAGGAAGTTTCATGTTAGTTGGAAGTGATTGAAGAGGACAAGCATGATGGCAATGTGGTTAACTTTGTCCTTAAAAAGATCACTTTAGGCATAGTCTTAAATGCATTAGCCAATAGAAAAACAGTCTGAGGCAGAGATGCAAGTCACGGATGCAACCTCAAATGTTCTAGTTGCACATTTATAAAGCATAGAAAGGGGCGACATATGGCATGGGCACTGGTTCAAGACCAGCTCCCAGCTAACGTACCTGAGAAAGCTGCAGAACATTGCCCACATGTTTCAACCCCTTCATCCACATGGGAGACCCAGGCAGAGTCCCAAGCTCCCAGCTTCAGACTAACCAATTTCCAGGCATTGCAGTCATTTGAGAGAGTGAACCAGTGGAAGGATGCTCTCTTTCTGTCTCTTGTCTCTCTATTTATAACTTTGCTTTTTAAATAAATAAATCCATTAAAAGTTTAGAAAGATAAAAGATCCAAGAGTAACTCACCTTTAGCATATTTTGTTTGACTCCAAATTCCCAATATATTATCATTTCAGCATGACTCAACATAAGCATTGATGAGAGTTTTATGTCCTGATTTTGCATTCTAAGTTCAGTGTGCTTGAGGACTCACAGCCCCTCTCAGAGCAGCCACATTTCCAGGTGCTCCATAGCCAGGTACGACCAGTGGCTCCCAATATCGGAAGCACTGTCTAGGATGAGGACACCACTAGACTAAGGGCCAGCTAAGGGGCTGTACAGATCGGAGGGCATGGAACGATGGTAGCCTGAAACCACAGGGTGAGCAGCAGGAGCTGATTTGAGAAATAATTTGGAGAAAGAATGTACTGCTCTTGGCGCCTGACTGGCAAGTCTCAGATGAGCTGCTTCCTCCCAACACTCACGTCTCCTGCTTTGCTCTATTAGGCTGAGCATCCCCACTGGATGCAAGGAGCATCCACCCTAGCGAGAAAGCCTTTGCTCACCTTCAAGGCCACCTCACTGCCCTGATTTTCTTCCCACCGCACTGGCTGCTCCTCTCAGTCTGCCTTTGCTGTTTGTTCCTTTTGTTTTTCTCTGCTCTTTCACATGGAAGGGCTCTTGGGTGAAAGCTGCTCCTGGTCCCCGCCTACACTTGCTGCCCCAGTGATCACATGTAGCCCCATGGCTTTAAATACTTTTGGTAAGCTGCTGCCTCCAGCTTTGCTCTCTTCCCCTGAATTCCGGCCTTGAACTCCATGTCGTGTGGGTGATGGGGGGCATCTTTAATTTGCCATGTCCAAAACAATATCCCTCATCTTCTCCTGCAAGCCAGTTCCTCTCAGTTTTTCCCCATTTCACATAGTGGCATCTCAATATTTCCAATGGCCTTGGGGTTTTCCTTGGCCTCTCTCTCTCATAGGTCACATCCCTCAAAGCACACATCCAGAATCCTGACTCCATTGAAGCAGCTGAGGCTGAGCCCTCATCTATTGTATGGGTTGGTAAGATAAAGTTTCTGTCTCTGTTTTCGTTCTCAAGAATTGAGTGATCCTATTAAAATTATACATAGATCCCTTCTCTTTCAAAACTTTGATATAGTCCTCCCCCCTCACTAAAGGTCAAAGCAAAAATCTCCACTGAGAGGGGGAATTTATTATTTTTTTCTGTATTTGGCTCTAGATGAGTCCTTGGGACACCCTAGGTATACAGCGTTGATGAGTGAATGATTGACATGGGATGGGATAGAATGAGATGTAGTAAGAAGGCAGAAATCAAACTTTACTCCCAACTTCTTCACCTCTGACGCATAGCAGAGTTGCCTGGCTTGAGAGCATTTTCAAAATACACTTCAGAGAGTCACTCAGGGGTCATGAGACGCTGATGGCTACCACGGTCACATGTGAGTGCACTCCTGTGCCCACTACTGCCCATAGTGCACAAAAGCCCTTGGTCATCAGCTGCTCTTTGGCTGTGGCATCAGCAGCTATGGTCCTGAGAGATAAGCATGTCAGACAGCTGATGTGTAATGCACAACTCACAGCTAGCACTGCCTTTTGGAGCACTCAGGACCTTCCTCAGAAATGAAAGGGGAAAATGTTCTCGAAACTCCAGGAGGCCATTTCTGCCAAGTGCCCATGGGAGTGACATGGGACTTTGTGGGCTCCTTGCTCTTCTTTGAGAGCTCCCTCCCCAGCGGGGCCTTCCAGCTTCCTGCTTCCATCCTGGGCATGCCAGCCACAACCTTGCCCATTCTGCAGCCATTGTCCTGGACTCCTTTATGCGGCATCTGTGCTGACCCTGAGCTCCCTTTCACGAATAGCTGATTCTCCCTAGGCCTGTCTCAGAAGTGATTCAGTAGGAAATCACCCACCTTGTCAATGAGCCACTCTTATCCTCCATCTCTCCTGTGTCTCTTTTACATCCCTGGACAAGCTGGGCTGCAACACACTCTTTCCCCATTTCAACTTCTCCTTAGCGGGTGACCCACCTGCAAAGCACTCACTCCAGATAACTCCTGCCGGACACCAGACTCCATGCTCCAATCCCTGCACTGACTGATGTGGAATCCTCTTCCTGCTGCTACCCAGGCCAGGCTGGAGCCTCCACAAGTATGAGTGTGAGAGGCTCCTTCATGAACCTCAACAAAACTGAATTCACGTCACACGTCATGTCCATTCCCCTTAGTTCATGTGTTGGCAGAATACACGCTTAACATTATCTTTCAAAAAGCTTTCAATGGGGCAGGCATTTGGCACAATGATAAGATGTCCACATGGTATATCAGAGAGCTCAGATTTAACTCCCAGACCCATTGCCAAGTCTAGTTCATGTGCAAACTAGGAAGCAGCAAAGGAGAGCTCAAGCACATGTTCCCCTGCCACTCACTCACATGGGAGACCTAGAATGACTTCCTGGATCATGGCTATGGCCTAGCCCAGCCCAGGTTAGGGCAGGTGTTTAGGAGAGCAAAGCAGTGAATAGAAGCTTCTCTTTATCCATCTCTGTGAAATAGTGAAAATGCATACATAGTTTTTAAAGGTCTATAAATAAGTAACAAAAAGAGTCACTGGATGTTCCAACAATTTGAAGATACTGACATTATAAATGAGTGGACTACCTTCCCACACCTGGAGGAAAATTTATGATCAAAAGGCAACTTTAACATTTTTATTTATTTTGTTTTTTTTTTAATTTTTAATTTTATTATTTTATTTATTTGAAAACCTTAAAAAGAGATCTTCCATCTGCTGGTTCACACTCCAGGTGGCCACAATTGCTGGGACTGTTCCATGCCAAAGTCAGGAGCCTAGAACTCCATCCAGGTCTTCCATGTAGGTGACAGGGGTCTGAGTACTTGAACCATCCTCTGCTGCTTTCCCAGGTCCCTTAATAAGGAGCTGGGCTGGGAATGGAGTAACCAGAGTTCAAACAGGTGCTCTGATAAATATAGGCAGCAGCTTAGCTTACTGTACCACAATGCCAGCCTAGGCAACACTAATCTAAATGGGTATGATACTCTGGATAATGCCCCCCAGACACCTTGGTTCCCATTCCCATCTGGCCTTAAAGTTGATCATGAAGATGGAGCATCCAGAAGCCCAAGAACATGGAAGACTCTAGACACTGGAAGAAACCAGGAGTGGATTCCCTGCTAGAACTCCTGAGGAGCACAGCCCAACCATCACATTGGTGCGAGCCCAGAGAGACCCGCGTGCAACTTCCAACTGCAAGACAATAAACACCCCATCTCCAACAGGAAACAGCATGGAAGCAGAGTTCTCTGCCACTCTGTCTACCCCACAGTGGGTCTGGTGGGAAACTGGAAGGGCTATGCTAGCCTTGGCCGCATACCCAGGGTGGTCTGGTGAGAGGGTAAAGGATGAGAAACCTAAAGATGCTCAAGGGACTGTCCCATGTTCCCACCCATCCCTAACACTGTCAAAAAGCCACTGGGTGAAAGAGAAGTCTACCTGAAGGTCTTCCAGGGCCACATGTCCATTTCTGATCCTCCCCACCGTTGCCAACCCTGTGACTCCTGGCAGGGGTGTGGATTCTCCCTTCACAGAGTTCATGACCCAGCTTGCTGGCAGGTTTACAGCAGTGCATGGCAGTGAAATCGTTGCCTAGGCAGCACTGGCCTTCCAAGCTCAAGTACAGCTCCAAAGGCAGGGGCTACGAGGAAAGCCGTTCTGGAAAAACAGAGAGAAAGGCTCAAGGGAGTGGCCAGGCCCCTCCTTTCCCTGCATGTAGAAAACAAAGCAGTAATGCACCTCCATGAGCACCTAAGGTATGTCGAATGCATCCATCATAGCCTGACTTGTCCTCCCTTGTTTAAGGAAGACTGTGTGAGTAAGCCAACCTGTTACCTGGCGGCAGCTTCTTCATCTTTGGATGTATATCTCTTTAAATGCAACTGGAGGCTGTGATGCAACCTCTTTCTCTGCTCAGGGCAAAAGAACAGAGATTAGAATCAGAAGAGATTCTAACTTGGGTAAGAGAAAGAAAGAGAGAGAGAGAGGAAGAGAGCCATGTGCAACCAAGC